TTTTAATATTAATAATAAACCATTAATACGTTTAATTATAATAATATTGTTGTGCCAAGCGGGACGGAACGGAGACAAAGGCGCAGACGTCAGGGTATCGGGGAATACGGGGTTTAAGTACAGGTAAGGCAGGCAAAACGCCGACGGACAATACAATGACCGGTCTGGGGAAACAAACTGAAACGCGGACGAAATACAGAGGACTAACAACCAGAAACAGCTGACCACATGGGGATTCCACAAGGGGTTAACGAGGGGGCGTGGCACACGAAAGTAGCGGACGATCGGGGCAGGACACATTGGAAACATTTACTTTACAAATTACTGTTTTGATAAATGTGTTTAGATGTGTTTAGTATAGTATTGTTTTATCCAGTTCATTTTGTGTTTAAATGCTAAAAAAAATATATATATATTATAAATGTAGGTGTAATTTTTTGGGGCCGAGAACCAATTAATTGATCTTCCATTATCTCTTATGGAGGAAAATTCGATCACAACTCGAACTTTTTAGGAGTTCTGAATGGATTAAATTCGAGTTCTGAGGTACCACTGTAATATATATATATATATATATAGTTCATGTAGCTCGTAAGAGTGATTTAGGATAACTTGCTGCATTCACAAACATTCTCGTACTTTGAATGTTCTCTTAGGTACGAACATTTATATAACTAGACATCGGTATTTGGCAAATATGTTTTGTTTATGTACAGGCCGATTGTATCAGTTTTTAAATCTTCGAATATCAAAATAGGTATAGGCAAATTCTGTATCGGTCGGGCTCTACTCCCTAGTTTCTGTTTCAGTCAACAATAAACAACAGACCTGCCTCTGGCCAGTATGTAGTGATGCGGCGCGCGGAGAATGTGTGCGAGAGTCCTTCAGTGCCCGGTTCAGCTTTAATTCCCCACCGCATATTTAATCCGCCCGCCATCTAAGTTTTGGCTTGGACCCGCACCGGGATATCAACATTGATATTATTTGGTATCGCCCGTCCATAGTACTCACCTAACATCCCACATATTCCTTCCTGTTCCTTTGCTGCCGACGCCAAGACGTATCGATCATAACGACGCGTTACGTAAGACGTTGCGCACGCTTCTGCTGTGTTGGCCACGCCCCAATTCTGACAAATGTTTTTTTTCTATCCGATGACGTAAAATAGTACATGTGTGTAGGTGTGAATAATTAACAATCAAGCAATCGACCAAACTCTAGGCAGAGAACATTAAGAACTGTTGATATCGAAACGAAGCTTTCTGAAGCAATGAAACTTCCTTTCCAAATGTGTAGGAAAGCGGTCAATAAATTCGAAGCCCCACAGCACGGTGCAAAGCAGCGACACCTGCCGGTCAAAGATCAGCAGCAATTGACTTGTCACTGAGCGTACTCCTCTGGTTGTTAATGACAGTGTGCAGAGGCTGTCTGACATTATCCATAATGACCAGCAGTTTGTTCAGAGTCCTTTTCTCTACCACTGTGGCCAGAGTGTCCAGCTTCATGCCGACAACAGAGCCAGCCCTCCTGATCAGTTTCTCCAGCCTGGATGAGTCCTTTCTGCTGTGCCGCTCCCCCAACACACCACACCAAAGAAAAGGACACTGGCCACCACTGGAGCTTCCTGCAGATGTTAAAGGACCACAGGCTCCTCAGGAAGTACAGCCTGCTTTGGCCCTTTCTGTACAGGTGCTGGATGTTGTATGTCCAGTCCAGTTTATTGTCCACCCACAGCCCGAGGTACTTGTAGTTGCGGACCACCTCCACCTCCTCTCCCCTGATCTGAACTGGTCATGGACTTGGACTGGACCTCCCAACATCTAAAACCAGTTCCTTGTTTTTTTAGGTGTTGAGCTGCAGGTGGTTTGTGTGGCACCAGATAACAAAGTTCCTCACCAGACTCCTGTACTCCTCTTCCTGGTTGTCCCTGATACATCCCATGATGGCTGTGTTGTCCACAAACTTCTGAATGTGACACAATTCAGAGTTGTAGCAGTGGTCTGAGGTGTACAGGTTGAAGAGGAGTGGAGTGTTGAAGGCACTTGAGAAATCCAGAAACAGGATTCTGACCGTGCCTTTCCCCTTGTCCAGGTGCGAGGGGCTCAGTATAGGAGGTACAGGATAGCATCCTCCACACCGACAACTGTAAGGGGTCCTGGGCATGCTGAACCTGGGCCTGAGGAGGTTAAGGAAGAGCCACTCCAGAGTCTTCATCGGGTGTGCAAAACAGTGGTTTATTGAACAGTAAAAATAATATAATGTAATATAGTGTAGACACACACCGGGTACTGAAAGGCAGCTCTTTAAGGACAGTTTTTCACCTCACTTTATACCCCAAAAGACTCTCCCCGCCAAGGTGCTGTGTGTAGGTGTTTGTGAGTGAATTTACATATAAAGAGTGACCCCCTGGCCTGTGAGGAGCCCGGGGCAGGGATGGGGCAGGACGGGATAGAGACTTTCTGATCGTTGTAATTCAATGATCTTCCTTATCACCCTATCACCACCAGTGTATGAATGTGAGTGTGGATGGGTGAATGTGAGGCATGAATTGTAATGCGCTTTGAGTGCTTGTAGGAGTAGAAAAGCTCTATATAAATGCAATCCATTTACCATTTACCATTTTAGTGGTGCCATTCTCTCCCTGGCTTCCCCATGATCATTACTAACAGTGTCTGTGTTCACATGATCGACCAAGAACACTGGGGCATCTTTACTACTTTTCCTTACAACTGAAAACCAGTTCTCACTGCTGCAGAAATTTGCACCGAAGAGATTATAAATTGTATTAATAGTCTTAAATTTAACAAGTTGATCACTGGGTAATGATCGATAGACTCGAGAATTCTATAAATCCTTCAGCTCTGAATTAGCTCCCTTTTTACTTCTAATGTTTCAGGAAGCTAATGAAAAGTGTGAGTTGCCAGCTTCCTTGAAGCAAGGAGTCATAACTTTGATCCTCAAACCTAATAAGGATAAATTGTGTTTAGAAAATTAGAGACATATAAGTCTTTTAAATAGTGATGCCAAACTGTTTACTATGGTTTTTGCTAAGCGATTAACGCAGAACATACATAATATTATAGATGAGGAACACAGTGGATTTCTACGAAGAAGGCATATTATATAGTAATAATATCAGATTGATAAGAGGCCCAAATAAGCAGTCCAAAAGGTGGTTGTTTGTATTGATGAATTTTCAAAGATCTCTGGACTAAAAGTGAATGTTACCAAATCCGTTTTGTTTCCCCTTAAGAAAGCCAATAATATAGAACTACATGGTATTCCAGTTAGAGAGATTACTTATTTAGATGTTGTGGTCTGCAAAGATGTGCACCAGAGGGCGCAACTGAACTTTGACTCAATCATAAAAAAAACTAAAAAAAAAAAGCTTAATATGTGGTTAATGAGAGATTTATCACTGATAGGGAGAGTTTTACTTTCAAAGGCTGAAGGAATATCTCGCTTAGTGTATTTCTCTTTCACTGGATGTACCTTTGATTGTGATCAAGCAGCTTAACAAAATGCTTTTTAGATTTAGTTGGAGGAATAAAGCTCACTATTTGAAAAAGGAAATTATTTGTAATGCCACGGAAAATGGGGGACTTGAGGTTTCAGATTTTGAAACGCCAAACAACACTTTTTAACTCAAATGGATCATTGACGTCCTGAAAAGTAAAGATAGCCTGTGGAACATCTTTCCTAATTATTTCTTCAATATGTTTGGTGGTTTACAATTCCTGCTGAAATGTAATTTTTCAATTGACAAACTACCTGTAAAACTGGCCAATTTTCACAAACAGGATCTTTTAGCATGGAATTTAGTTTACAAGCATAACTTTTCACCACACAAGTATTTTATTTGGAATAACAAGGACATTTTATTTAAAAACAAGACACTTTTATATTATTCTTGGTTTAATAATGGAATCCTTATGGTCTCACACTTATTGAATTCTGATGGTCAGCTTCTAACATTCACTGATTTTTTGGAAAAACATCAAATACCCGTAAGACCAAAGGAATATGCTGTGATTTTTGATGCTATCGTCACAGGTGCATTGCATCTTCTAAGGAACTCTTGTTTGACTGATATGCATGAGGATGTAACTCTTGCTCACATTTATTTTGTGGAGAAGGATGATGTAAATGATGATTAGTAACAAGGTTATTAGAAATGCTATGCTCACGGTTATGTTACCTACACCAAGATTCTTTTGGTCTTCTATGTTTCATGACATAAATTGGAAAAAAGCATTGGCTATTTATAGTAAATACTGCATCCATAACAAGTTTAAAGAGGTGTCATATAAATTGTTACATAGAATTTACCAGGGAAAACAAATTTTAAGAAGATTTAAATTGGATATTGATAACACTTGTGATTTCTGTGGGATAGAAGAGAAAATGTCATGCATATGTTTTATCACTGTATACGAGATTATTCTGGATAGATATGCAACAGTTTATTAAAAACAACTTAAAAATGATATAGTGATTGGCCTATTTGATGTATTTTTTTATTTTAAAAATAGTAATTTGATGCTAAAGAATCTATATGTTAATAATTTACTTTTGTTATTAGGTAAATTTCATATACATAAAGTGGGAAAAAACCCACTTTATGTTCACATGTTTTCTTGGTGGAATTTACGCAGTACGTATAGATGGTATTCAGAAGAGTAATAACAAAAAAGCACAAAAAACATCAACTTACCAAGTCCTTCCAGTATATGTGATGTGTATTTTTATAATTTATTTATTTATCTATTTTTTTAAAATAATTGTATTATCTGTGTGTGTGTGTGTATATATATATACACATACATACATACACACACACACACTCACGCACGCACGGACGCCCCTGGCAATGTTTATGTTCATGTGTTATATTGCACACATATGTCATTGTACCTTATGTTGATTACTGAAAAAAAAATAACCATGATGCATTGCGTCAGGACCATAATGCATTGCTTTAAGTCCGCGCTGTAAGTGGCTGTGTGAAGTGGAACACGCCGATAGCTGTCTGATTAAAGACAGGCTAGAAGAAGGTAGAGTTTGGGTGCGTTCGACTTGGGCGTTAGGTCTGTCTGCAGCTGACGTGACGTGGATTGCGATCTGCCGGCGGCTGCAGGAGGGGAGTGTAAATTGACTGCAGCCAAGCCGGACAACTTCTACTGCTCTTAGTCTGCGAGACCTGACTGCAATGGCCGATCTCGCGGCGTTGGCGTTTTTCGTGGCAGACGAGATCGACATCGTGGAAATTCCCGTGTTTTTGCATGAAGAATTCGGCGAACAGCGAAGGTAATTAAAAACTGTCTAAAAATATGCATCATGTCATTTCATATCATATTTATAACCTCATCTCTCTAGTTTCGGCTCACGGAACAGGACAGATTAAATCTTGAAACTCCATAACTCAGGCTACATTATTGTAATATAATATTTTTACTCAAATTTAAGATAAGAAGTGGCGTGATTTTAGCCTAGATACATAAAGAAAGCTCACCCTGCGAGGGGAGGAGTAGCTGACAGGTTGTGTCCGCGTGTTTTTCCTTTGTCCTACACTCAGGTTGACAGTACAGTTCCGTTTTATTCATTCCTCTAGGCTGCTTATCCAAAGGAAAATGTTTTGTCTCAAAAATGTGTTCGTCAGAATCTCACAAGAAATAAATCAGTTCTTATTGAGATAATTTTTTTAAGGAGCCCATAAGTGAAATAAGGTGAGATAAGAATATATTGAGAAGAAAATGCATTTATTCTATCCCCTTCTCTAGGCATGTTTCAAAACGTATTGGGTTTGTGAATGATGTCATCCCTCTATACAATCTGTCAGAGTTTAGGAGTCACTTCCGGCTTTCTAAAGGACAAGTGGAGGTGTGTATGGCTATTGGAGGCTACTTTATTGTTATGGTTTATCATAACAATGTTTCCATGTTATCAATGACCTGTTTTCTCATATTTACTATCCCAGGATGTCATCACCACACTTGGTCCTGTGTACCAAAATCCCCTGAACACCAAAGTCCCCTTAAAAGACATTGTCCTGGCCTGTTTATGGACCCTGGCAAATCAAGAGTCCTATAGGATTGTTGCAAACCGCTTTAATATCAGCAAGTCCACTTTGATGGTTCATTTCCATCAGTTCTGTGTGCTGATAAACACACACATGGCACATCATGTCACCTGGCCAGTGGGCGAAAGTCTTCACAGGTCAGAGTTGGGATTTGCTAGGGCAGGTTTCCCAAGGACCGGATTGGCTGTCGGCAGCTGCCACATCCCGATTAGGAAGCCACACCGAAAGAACCCACTGACATACCTAAACCGGAAAAAAAATTATTCTGTCATTCTGATTGGGTTTTGTGACAGTCAGCGGAGATTCTGCCACGTAAGCGTGGGCCACCCTGGTAGCTGGCATGACGCCAGAGCCTTCCGGCACACGGCAGTTGCTCAGGCTCTGGCGGAGGATCCGCCATCCCTCATGCCAGAGGGTCTGCACATCATTGGAGACTCAGCCTTCCCACTCTTGCCTCAGTTGCTGAAGCCGTACCAGGACAACGGACGCCTCACCGCCCGGCAAAAAAAATATAACAGGAAACTAAACGGTGCCCGTATGGTCATCGAACAGGCATTCGGGATTCTAAAATCCAAATTCCGCCGACTGAAATACCTGCAAATGGACAGTATTCAGAAGATTAGTTCAGCAGTGTGTGCCTGCTGCATCCTATACAACCTGTCCTACGATCCTGGGGATCAGCCCCCTGACATAATTAGCAATGAGGCCCTGGATGATGACACTTATCCATCTCAGCCTCTAAATGAACAGGCACTTCATTACAGAGACACTATTTGCTGTAGTTTATAAACACACACCTCAGCCTCTTACATGGCAAGCAACTGCTCATAGATATTAGCTCCGCCTTCAACACATTCATCCCTCAAAAGCTGATTGTGAAACTGACTGGGTTATTGGTTAGGCCTGAACCCCACTCTCTGCAAGTGGATTTTGGATTTCCTGATGCAGAGGCCCCAGTTTGTACAGTCAGATTGCAACACCTCCAACAGCATCACGGTACAGCAGTACAGGAGCTCTGCAAGGCTGCGTTCTTCGTCCTCTGCTCTTCACCCTGCTGACTGATGACTGCATACAGGAGCAGCTCACAGCACCAATCACATCATCAAGTTTGCAGATGATGCAGCTGTGCTGAGACTGATAAGCCTGGACTGCATGCAGAGAGGAAGTGGAACGGCTGTCCGCATGGTGCACAGACAACAACTTATCTCTCGACGTTGAAAAGACAAAAGAGATAATCATGGATTTTAGAAAGACTTGTCCTGTCCATACTCCACTCAACATCAACGGGTCAGCTGTGGAGATCGTAAGGAGTACCAAGTTCCTCGGTGTGCACATAACTGAGGAACTTGCATGGACGGACACCCCCTCCTCCCTAACCAAGAAAGACCAGCAGAGATTATACTTCCTGCGGCAGCTGAAACCGGCAAGGCTCCTCCCTTCCATCCTCACCACGGTCCACAGGGGCACCGGCAACATTATTCTGACCAGCTGCATCAATACCTGGTACGTCAACTGCAAAACATTCGATCGCACGCGCCTGCAATGGATAGTGAAAACGGCAGAGATCACTATCGCGCTGCCTCTTCCTTCAATAGAGCACACATTTCACAAGCACAGTGTTCGCAAGGCTTGCAGCATTGTGCAGGACTCCTCACATGGACTGTTCACTCTCCTGAGGAGGGGAGATCCTGCAGCATCAGAGTCACGTCTGCGAGGTTGGAGGACAGTGTTTATCCCCAGGCTGTCAGGCTCCTCAGCACTGTGCCCCCACCCCCCAGGGATCTTCCCCACCGCCTCATTAATCTCTTAAACTACAAAGCAGAACTTTACACATGCACAGCCACTTTACTGTCTGGTTTGCACATAGACCTAAATCACACAGCATATTTAAATATCTCTTGCACATTGCTTTTGTCACTTTGTCATGCCTGCGATATGAAAAATCATCATTGTTCTGTACTGTTTCTATTGATAATCATTAGCTGTAAAACATTCTGACCCGTCAGCTGTTTACACATGTCCTTATATTATCACACACTGCTTTCAATACTGTAAGTCATGCTGCTGTTCTGATAAACGTAAACACATTACTTGCTACATGCCACACTGCTGCTACTTTTTTGTCTGGGTTTGTACAGTCTTTGTCTTTGCACTACGTTGTGTAGTGTTTTTCATTTGTATTTGCTTTAAGTATTTGTTACACTGTGGATCCTGAGCTTTGCCATTTAGTCTCACTGTATACTGCTATATGGTTGAGATGACAATAAAGTTCACTTTGACAGATCTGCCATTGTGGTACTGGATCACTGCATTGACTTCGACTGCTTTAAAGGGGGTGGTGGAAACATGTAAATCAAGTGCATTTGTATTGCTTATTATGCACAGATTGCAGGAACATCTGTTTTGCACCATGTAATTTCCCTTCTAATAGCAGCGTCTCTCACTCAGGACCCCTGCTGTAGCTACCTGGGGCAGGTCATGGAACCTGGGAGCCACGGAAGTTGGCCAAATCAGCAGAGAATCTCAGAGTACCTGACTCAGACTCAGAGATCTAGACTGACTAACCAACTGCTGTCTTTAACGTAAATGTTATGAGATTGGAATCCCCAAAGGGAATGATGGTACGTGGCACACAAGTTTTGTTGCTTTTTTATTTATTTGTGCTGTAAATTCTGTAAGAGTTTAACCATTTCTGCTTGGCCTTCAGCAATCTCCTGCAAGCCCTTTGAAATTTGCCCAAGACTTGTGAGAACTTTCTTCTCGAAGCTTCTCCTCCTCCTCTCCTTCAGCCTTCTGAACCTCTCCAGATCTGGGCGCACAAGGGCCTCCAGCACAGCAGTTCTCCGCTCAGCATGGGCTTCGTATGACTCAAAGAACGACGCCGCTTGGCTTGCTGGTTTACTACCCATGTCCCAGTCTGTAGCTGTTTTTTTGGTTAAAACGGCAGGATCAGGCTCTGGTGCTGAAGGCTGAGGGGCAGAGAGGGGCGTGGAGGATATTCTGCTCTCTGGGGCACTTCCGACTCCTGACCGGCCGAATATTTCATCCATAATCTGAGGAAACAATGACAGGTTTAAGTCCAGCAAAGAAATTCTGTAGTAATTGTTGGAAAACTCATACTACACGACCTTGTTCGCAGAGGTGGCCTAATGGTTAGAGAAACACACTTATAATTGAAAGATTGCTGGTTCGAATCCCCGACCAGCAAGGCACCAATGAGGCACCCTGAGCAAGGTACCGAATTAGCTGCCCCCCTGCTATGTCACGATGTCACATATGGGTTAAATCCAGAGGACACATTTCATTGTTGTGTGCTGTGTCAACATCACCACATTTCTAATTAGTAAAGTTAAAATGGCATAATGTGAACACTTTTCTACTTACTGTGTAATAGTCCCAGTTGATTTTTGCCTCTCCAGTAATCTGACATCTGTATTTGACCCTTTTGTAGGTCGCCAACATGTTAGAAATTTTCTTTCTTATCTGCTCCAAAGAGCATTTGTGGTCCCTTTGTAACATGTCTTTATGAACTCGTTTATAAAAAGCTGGCTTGTTTGTGCTGTAAAGGGAACGATGTTTTTTTATTGTTGTCAGCAGAAGAAGTGTGAGCTGGTGTTTCATTCCTGAGAGGAAAAGATTGTACTGTCATTTCACAGTTTCAAATGTTTAATCGTGATTTTTCTAATAGGCACTATACCTGGTTCTGATTTTGAAATGTCCTGGTTTGAGTCCACATCGCTGGGGCCCACTGTGTGTGCTGCTGGTGGATGGATGAGAATGGCAGAGTTCGGGGGCCCAGTTGCAGTAGCGCTGGGGCCCACTGAGTGTGCTGCTGGTGCATGGAAGCGAATGGCAGGGTTCGGGGCCCCCGGTGGGGTTGCAGCAGTGCTGGGGCCCACTGAATACGCTGCTGGTGGACGGATGAGAATGGCAAGGTTCAGGGGCCCAGGTAGGGTTGCAGCAGTGGATCGTGGGGACGCAGATGGTGCTGGCAGAATTAAAACAGGAGGAAGAGCAGATGATGTGGCAGTTATAACTATAATTATTTTAACTGGTCTCCATTGTCTAATAAAATGGTTTAATACAAACACAAAAAGGAACTTTACTTTGCGACATTGCAGATAGTCTAAGCTAGACCAGCCAACAACTCTATCTGAAAAACAATCATCCAAACAGGTGACAGTAGTGTTTGACCCAACTTGCCTTAAACATGTATCAGCAAATAAAAGATTATTGTAGTGTAGCAGTTAGTATGACTGGTTCAGGTAATGTAAATTTGGAGGTTTAATATAGGCCCAACCATCTACCCAGAAACACACATCACCTGGTCCACTACAGAAATGCGTAATCAGTTGACAAGCTTTTCATTTAAGTTAATTGGATGGAAAATCTGCACAGCATTACCCTCAATGTCAGATTGTTTTGGCAAACCTTCATAAACTGCTGATTCACTCAATAGCATGAAGATTAACAGATACTGTATCAGATATTGTAATATATAGGGTGATAGGTTCAAATATAGTCATATGCAATGTGCTGGAGGTACACTTTCAGACAGAAGTCCTGACATTGTTCTAATAAGCAAACACATAACAGGATATAAAACAGAAAGGCGCACTGCCAGAAGGGTGTAGATTAATCTATACAAATATCACCTGCATGCACATTACTTTTTACAATAACCAATTCCTGATCCAAACTGTTAGCAGTGAAAAAAAATAAACTATTGTGTATAGTGGCCCTGTGTAAAAAGATAGCTGCCAGGGAAAAGATAAAATACATTTATTTCAAGGATTCAAAGTTTTTATTGTTATGTACAGAGTACAATGCAATTCTTACTTGAATGCCTTCTTCACAGACTAGACGTTTAAACAAAAGCAGCGCAACATTACAGTAACTTACAATAAATACACTAACTCACATGTACTATTAAAGCATTTATGTAATTTATTTAAACTTTATTTTACCAGGTAAATTAACTGAAAACCAGTTCTCACTGCTTTACGTGCTTTTTGGGAGAAATAGATTACGCATTGGAACTACTTGGAATACAAATGTCATGCGTAACACTAAAATCTTCAGCCAATAAGGGCAAAGTTGTGTCGTCACAGAGGTGGCTCCAGTTTGTGCAGCCGGCTGAGAGGTGCTGCACAATCTGGCTCAAGTCGTCTTGCCCTCGCGAGGTTTTTGTACCATGTGACGTGGTGACGCGTGGTGACGCTTTGCAACGCCGGGCTGAAGCCGGACAAAAAAAAATCTAACCATGATGCATTGCTTTAAGCCAGCACTGTAAGCGGCTGCAGGATGTTGAACGCACCTTTATTTTAACAAGCATGCATCGGTTCAGGGGTCTGATTTGACACCTCATTTGTCCGATTTGGTCGGATGAAGTCGAACTATGCAAAATTAGCCAAAAATCTTCCCAGGCAGAGCTTAATAGTCCAACTGGCAAGCTGGTAGGGCATGGCTGCCTGTAGCTGCAGAAAAAGGTATTTAGACTCTAGGAGTGACAGGCCAGGAGATATCAGCCAAAGCGTATACGGGGGTGGTACAGTACCTCCACTGACTGTCTGATTTGGGTCAAATGGTCTGAGTACTGCGATAGAATAACAAAAACAATAATAACAGGCCCTCACGCCTGTATGATTCTGTTTGTGGATCTTTAGGGCTCGTGCTTGACTGAAGCTCTTCTTACACTCCAAGCAGCGGTAGGGCTTCTCCCATGAGAGTCCGCTGGTGGATCTGTTGCTGTCCTACATGAATAAAACTCTTCCCACAATGGGAGCACTGCTAGGGCTATTTGCCTATGTGAATTTGCTGGTGTGTCTTTAGTTGTCTTAACTGACTGAAGCTCTTCTCACACTCGGAGCACTGGTAGGGCCTCATCCCTGTGTGAGTCCACTGGTGTGCCTTTAAGTTTCCTATCTCTTTGAAGCCCTTCCCACATTGAGAGCACAGGTATGGTCTCTCTCCTGTGTGAATCCGCTGGTGCACCTTTAGGGTGCTGGACCGGCTAAAATTCTTACCACATTCTGAGCAGTGATACGGCTTTTCTCCTGTGTGAGTTTGTAGGTGTTTCTTTAAGTCACGTAACTGACGAAAATTCTTTGCACACTCTGTGCACTGGTAGGGCCTCTCCCCTGTGTGAATCCGCAGGTGGGTCCGTAGGTGTGCTGACTGACTGAAGTGCTTCCCACAGTGGGAACACTGATAGGGCTTCTCCCCTGTGTGAACCCGTTGGTGCAACTTCAAGCCTGCAACATTACTAAAGCTCTTCCCACAGTGGGAACACTGGTAGGGCCTCTGCCCTGTATGTCTCTGATGGTGTGCCTTTAGGTTCCCTAGATCGTTGAAACGCTTTCCACACTGGGAGCACTGGTAGGGCTTCTCTCCTGTATGACCTCGCTGGTGTTTCGTTAGGCTGGCTAGATAACCGAAAGTCTTACCACATTCTGAGCAGCGATAAGGCTTTTCTCCTGTGTGAGTTCGTTGATGCATCTTTAACCCAACTACATAGCCAAAACGTTTTCCACACTCTGAGCACTGGTAGGGTTTCTCCTTTGTGTGAACCCGCTGGTGCATATTTAGGGCTAATATACCACTGTACCTTTTCCCACACCGGTGGCAGTGGTAGGGCTTTGTGTGAATCAGTTCATGCTCCTTTAGGTCTCCTACATTGCTGAAGCTCTTCCCACAATGGGAGCAGCAGTGATAAGACTTTTCCTCTGTGTGAGTTTGTTGATGTGTCTCAAAGTCATGTAATTGACTAAAACTCTTTGCACACTCTGAACACTGGTAGGGCTTCTTGCCTGTGTGAATCTGCTGGTGCTTCTTTAGATCCTCCATTGCAGTGGAGTCTAATAAAACAATAATTCAGTAACATGAATTGCAGACAGCACTAGGTATCTGTGTGATGCAGCATGTGGAATTTTCTGGAAGCTCGAAGATGTTTCTATAGTCACCTGGGTTTGGAGGTCTGACACCATCCAGCTTCTCCTCAGTCACGTCCTGAAACACTGTTTCTTCTTTCACCTCCCCATTAAAGACGGGACACGCTGTACTCTCTACTTTCTGAGGAAAAGAGAACAGAGTCAATAAAATTTTTCTCTTAATGGTTCAACTGGTCTATGGGACTGAAAGCAACATGTTTCAGCATCACACAAAGAAGCAGGGCCAGATCTACCAATGTCTTTACCATGTATCATACAGGACACATTTTTCCTGACTGATACTGAACACAAGCTGCCCTCAAGCTGCTGCTCTCTCTCCACTCCTAATCCATCTAAGCAGCTCACTGCTGAAGGTACTACAGGGTAAAA